GAAATAACTTCTGAAATATCCTAAAAAAAACACAATATCTGGGGATGACTGATGTAACGGTATCCCAAGATGGAGAACAATGATGACTGATGAATGAGCCCCACTCAACACTCGACTTGAACAAAATCACAAATCCATGGCAATGACACACTTTTCCAGTAATTAAAACATTTTACTGTGTTTGCGTGTGTGTGTGTGTGTGTGTGTGTGTGTGTGTGTGTGTGTGTGTGTGTGTGTGCTGCGGCATGGTCATGCTGGGGCTGTGATGCTCTACGAAGCTCGCTGTGACCCAACAAAGACAGACAAGCAATTCCCTATAAAGTCAGTAGAAATGTGAGAATGTGACTGTGGTTTGGTCTGGTTTAATATTGATCGAAGAATGGTTTCTTTGGAACATGGATGGTGGATGGCTGTGTTGACGTTGACTGGGGTTCTCATTTCAAGCTTATTTCACCATGCTTCTTTGTTTGTGTGTGTATGCGCAAACGTGTGTGTGTGTGTGTGTGTGTGTGTGTGTGTGTGTGTGTGTGTGTGTGTGTGTGTGTGTGTGTGTGTATGAGGCTGTAGAAGAGCCAGAGGCGACTCATGTGTGAAATTGTGTGATGGTTTGTCCATTGCGCTTCATTTAGCCACACATCACCCATCTCTCATTCCTGACAAGTTTCTTAACTGCTCCAAAACACGCCTCGGGGTGGGGTGGCAATGAAGCCCTGACAGTATACAATGAGGAGTGTGTGTTTGTGAGCGTGTTTGTGAGGGCTAAAAGTGAGACTAATAAAGCCAGCAGCTGCCATGGAAACCAGGGTAGAGACCTCATTCTATCTGTCTAGGGACCCATCAGGATTTCAACCATGGTCCAAACATGTGTACTGTATACACAAGCAACCCACAATTAAACGTAGCAAGTGACTCTTAGAGTGGGAGGTCTCCAGCGCACACACACGGACAGCATGCATACAAACAACAGATTAAGGTCTATGCAATAAGATGTGGTACTATGAAAAATAGGGGCGTTCCCTGTTCAATACCAACGGCACATAATATCTTAACGCACGAACACGCCCGAACTGAATTCAACTTCAACACATGACGATACAGTCACAACATCCACCCATTTTCTGCAGTCCCTGTGCTCTTCAGCGTTGTGTTGAGTTGGAACTGACTCACCCAGGTGAGCCAAGTCGTACATTGGAGAGGTCACCAGCTCTTCTTTCATTTTAGTTGATTTGAGCGAGGGGCGAGCAAGCAGCAAAGAATTAAACATAAATAAATAAATAACCCAAAAGGAGGAGGCAGAAGTGACGGACCAAGCCACAATAGACATTTTGGTAGCAGCCGTTAAATTAAGCGAAAAGAAAATGACATCAGGAATAATTTTACAGTTTAACCTCAGCGAGTCCCAGGGACTCGCTGATCAGAAAAGTATGAGTCCCATTATGCATTTAGAGAGTCCCAAATTTCGAATTCTGAAATGGTCTACTTATTCAATTGCATATGCTAAAACACAAACAACAACAATATACATTGATAATAGGTTTATTTCTTCTAAACAAATGCTGCAAAAATTTAAATAATTCAGGTATACAAGATTTGCTGAGAAATAGGTTCTTATTTCATCCCATGGTTCAGTCTTTGAGTTCATAAATTTTCCTCTCTTTACTCTGCTTCCAATGATGCAAGGCTTTCTCAACGTCAACCTATTATCGCAAAAACTATCCAACTTTAGCTGCTTCCTCTGTGATATCTCCGCAATAAACTTTCGCAACACTTGTTCGCAACATTTGTTTTAACGTTACACAACTTGACAATCGTCTGCTTTCCGCGAGGTTGAAGGCCGATCTCGCCAATCTCGTCTCGCGAGAACGGAAATCTCGTCACACGAGATTACTTAACCTGAGATCAAAACAACAATGGCGGCAATTGTCGAACTGCTGGAAAAAAAGATGTACCGTAGGTTTTTTTTTTTTTGTTTGTTTTGACTGACAAATTTCTTTGCGTCCCAAAAATGCACATTATTTGGAACTGTGCGTCCCGCGGGAAAATTCTGCGTCTAGGACGCGGGAAGCAGAGGTAACGATATGACTGATGACATAATACGATAAATGTTTATGTACCTCGAAGTATCTTAATTTTTTTTTCTTCATATACATGTATTAATAATTGACATGTTTATACTGTATTACATGTTCATGTTTTTACTTCTATAAATGTTCATACTGTATTTTACACCATAGTTGGCGGCCATTTTATCGGAAATGCTCACAACAAATTACGTACAGATTCATGATGTCCCTCGAGGTACGTCGTAACGAGCTTCGACTGTATCGCCACAAATGTCCACTTTATGCTTGATGTTTCAAGTGGGAATAAATTAAAGTCAGACAAAAAGTCAATACTGTTTCACATATCAACTTTGCTGATTCACAGGCAATCAAACAGTCTCCCTCCCAAGTGCTCTCTCTTCCCCGCATTCGACCTAAGTGCATCTGATGACATCTGAGGTCTAATAAATGCAACCTGGCCATTCAGACTGCGGTCACATTGCAAAAAATCCGATGAGTATCCAATCTAATACCAGGTATGAAAGTGGCCAAGGTGGGATTTAAAAAAAATCCAAAACTGAGCTGTTCAAATTGTCATTACTGGAAAATTAAAAAAAGAAAAAAAATGATACGGGTCGCATACAATCCGGGTTGGACTTGCCTGGATCTTAGTTCCATTTTATTTAGTTATTTTTATTTTTATTTTTTGCCCATATGTGACACATGTTTGATTAGTTGCATGCAGTGTGAACTGTACAAATTTTTTTCGAATCCGACCTGGGCCTCTTTCGTTTGGCCTCAGTCTGAACTGCCAGGTTGCATCTATCCGACCTCGACGTCATGAAAAACCCAATACCTATCAGAAACACAGACCTACATTCACAACTTTAATGAAGTGGAAATAATTTGTTTCCAACAGTCTTTTGTCTTCATTTCGTTGCATCTCTCTCTCTTGGCTGTGCAGCTTCCAGTCCTCTGTGGGTAATTTTTTTTTTTTCTTTTTGGTCCCGTCAGATTCCGATGTGCTCTCATGCACATATTATTTCAGGACGTCGAGTGCAGGCGTTGACCACGTACGCACGCACACATGGCGCGCACACACACTGGTTCTCCTTTTAGCCAATTAGATTGTAGATGTTGCCTTGGTTTTAAATGGTAAACGTCTCCCATACTGAAACAGCCACACTTAGTCTTACTTTTTTATTGTTGATTAAAAATTTTAGTCATAGTAAGGGATGCCCAAATCGCTGACAAAGAAAGAATGATAGACCGGTACAATTTAATCACGTGCCCACCTCAGAAAATTACAATATATGAAAATGACTCTTATACCTGTTCACATAAACATACTGTCAGGAGTCTGGAAGGTTCCTGACAGAATCGGACTCTACAAAATTAGACTCAGATGAGGATGTACAAAAATATTTATCCACAGAAAAATGGCGCAAGGCCGACAAAGTACAACTAATGATGCTCGTCAACAGAACAAGATAAAAGTGTTTGCAATAGGCAAGGAACCCCCGAGCTGAAAGAGAACCAAATTGCGACAAATACAAACTGAAAATACCTTACTCAATAAAATGACTGCCGGTACTTACAAGAAAATGGGGAACAACAAACGAGGCACGCAAAAAACGGAGCAAAATCTGGAAACGTCTAGAAAATTGCACATGAACAGTGGCTTGAGCAAGGCGAATTATCCGACAGTCTGTCATTGACAGGGAAATCCTTAAATAGTCTGTTAAAACCCTTGTGCTGCAGTCGATGTAAATAATTTTATATAATGCAGCATACAATTTTCCAAAAATTGTAAAAGTATTATTCCTGAATATTTATTTTACTGTCAACCACTCGACATGTTCAGTGGCATCAGCGCTATACATACACATATAGTTCTTATTTTTTTCTTTGTATTTTTGCCCTCTATGGACAATAAATGCGGTACTGTGCTATGACCAAAACATATACAGTGTATATATATCTATATATATATAAAACATTAATTGGAATATTTCATATCACACAATTTTTATGCTTTGTCTTTGATTTAAAGATGACAACACGCAAAAATCTACAAAAATTGTAGAAATTGTAACACAAGGGATTCCATACTAGGAGACACAAGAACACAATTTTGGTGAGGGGTTTGAGGCATAGTTTACCAAGATTTTATTTTTTATTTTTTTGCTACCAGATTAAAAAACCTCAAAGGTTCCATTGCATCCAGTCTTTCCTGACACTCTTTGTGAGATCTAAAAGTAAACAGTTGGCTAATGTAATGACACATGGCCAAAAGATTTTCACTCTAGTTTGTTTGCTTGCCCGAATCCATTCTGCTCAGCCCTCCAGCCAGCCTCCCAGAAGTCTCGGGATGCTGCCTGTCCCTGCAGTCGTTCAATCTGTAGATAACTTCTACTTCATCACCAACTGGCAATGTGTCTTCAGTAAGAAACTTGAGCCTCTTTATCAGAACAGAGCTGTAACATAAAAGCTGGCATTCAAACGACTTTTCCTTTCAGTCGGATCCCAGGGAAGCTGAATATTGTGACAACTTTTTTTTTGTTCTTTCCCCCCCACCTGAAGAGACAATGTAAATACACACACAATTCCTGGCAGGGGCAAGAAGCAAGCACGCACGCACGCGCGCACACACACACACACACACACACACACACACACACACACACACACACACACACACACACACACACACACACACACACACACACACACTTGATCCCCCATCCCTCTCTTGATTTAGAATTCTGTTCAGGGCAGTTTGCCATTTGCATGAGTAGGTTAGCCATGCATGGGGAGGCAAAATTCATGAATGATAAGCAACCCAAAAACTTTGTGTGGGTGTGCATGGGTGCACGAGAGGAGGGAGCACGCTTGTTGAATCACTCCCTCAAAGCATCCACCTTTTTCTATCAATCTGTTCATCTATTCATCCTCATGTACGTCGGTGGTATGTCATAAAGACAGCCCCCAACATCTGACACACTCACACACAGACGTACGCCTCCATGATGTGTCATATGCCTTCCACTTGCCTCTTTCCATCATTCCCCACCTGCTACCTACACATGCTCTGCCTCCCTGCCTCCCCCATCTCTTTTTTTTTGGTGTACTCTTTTTCATTCTTTTTCTCCACTCTTCCTTCTCCTCCTCCCCCTCCGCACGCTGTGTGTCAGCGATACGAGACACAACGAAAAATGTTACGGCAGATAAAGCTAATAAGAGGAAAGGAGCCACGTCAACCACCCCGAAAGGAGGCAAGAACTGGAGTGAGTTTTACTTCTAAACCCTCATGTGTCTGACGTTTCTTTCATGGAATATCCCAGAAGATGAAGGTTAGGAAGAGGGAGAAGATGGGAGATGGATTCGAAAGCGGACAGCAGTGATAAAATTCAGAGGGCAGGACTTGCCTGAGGAGGGTATGCACACACACGCGCGCACACATAAGCAGACGCACATTAAAAATTCAAAACCAACATAAAGAGACACAAAAACACGTGCGTGTGCTTCTCATACTTTTGCTTTGGGTATTGAACTGCTTCTTATTCACTCATGCTGCGTGGTTGTGTCCGCAGGCTGTGGTTGCGACTAATTTTCAAAGTCTTTTCTGGACTCAAGTAAAACAGGGGTTGCTCTTCTCTGTACTTCTTTTTCATTCTAATGAATTCCCCCCAGTGCAGAGTCTCAAAGAGCTTGTCTTTCCCTCACTGACTCCTTCGATCTGGGTCCCATACATGTTTCCCACTCTCCCCATCTGTCTTCCTTTGAGAAGCAGATAATTGGATGTGGAGATTGGCTTCTCTATGGTTCAGCAAAGAGGACTGAAGCCGCTTTGCCACACATGGACACACACACACACCTGGAACTCATGGCTTATGTGCATGTGATACTTTTTTTTTTTTCATGCACAAAAAGGAATTGAATTGAAAACTGTCGACTAATCTCATTTACTCTCCAATACGTTGTCGTCACCTACCAACCATAAGTATACATTGACTTTAGAAGAAGTTAAAAAAAAAAAATCAGCCTCACAGTTTGAGGTTCAGTGCTCAAATCTCTGCTGCGGTCTTCCAGTGTGGAGTTTGTATGTTCTTTCCATGCTTGTGGGTGTCTTCCCACTGGTGACTCCACCCACCTTCCATAAAGATGCATTTTACGTCGATTGGTAATTCTAAATTGTCCGTAGGTGTGAATGCTTGTGGAGGCTCTCAGTCGTGCAGGAAAGTTCCATCGTAGAAAGGGTTCTGTCAGTCGTCATCTGTACCTGTGGGTAAAAAACAAAAAAACGTCCTTTTTTGTTTTTTGTTTTTTACCCACAGGTACAGATGACGACTGACAGAACCCTTTCTACGATGTAGGTGTGAATGTAACTGTGAATGGTTGTTAGTTAGTTGTGCTCTGCAGGTAGCAGACAAGTTGAGGGTGTCTTCCATCCATCCATCCATCCATTCTCTATTCCATTTTCCTCACTTAGGGTGATGCGACCCACATAGGTATGAGGTGAATATGCAAAGTCCACAGGAAGGCTGAAGCCCCGATTTGAAACCTGGATCCCTATACTGTGAGGCAGACATGCTAAGCAGGCGCCACCGTGCCGCCACGACTTGACGTTTGACATCTTACCAACACTAGCTGTAATATCTTCTCGTCAGAGGCATAGCTTCACTGTACAGTATGTCTCTGAACTCATAAATCTGAATATACGGTAAGAAATCAGAACGCCTAAAATATATAGAGAGATCCTTGCTTTACGATGGAGTTTCATTCCCACAGAGGCAACACAGGTAAATTACACTTTGTATTCTTGACATCTTCTTACGCTTTTATGCAAACTAGTTCATTTGACATCATTCCTAAATTCAAAATGTTATATTTCGGGACCGGTGACTGAGCGACCTTTGAAAAGTAAGAAGGAAAGAAAGAGGCTCGGGAGTACCAGGGGCCATGTGATGTGTGGCAATAAGTGAGGGTAACAGAAAAAGTGATTGAATAGAGAACCCCCCACGCCCCAAAAAAACGAGTTGTTAAGATGCTCTCTCTGGTATGACAGTAGGTGACAAGATAGAAGGGTCATAACACACACACACACACACACACACACACACACACACACACGTATAAAGGGGTATAAAGGGATGCCCTCTCACTCTTTTGTCCTCTTACTTTTTGTTGTGGCACTCCTGTACCTCATTATTCTTTCTCATTCTCCTCTTCACCTTCCCGCCCAACCACACTCCCCTCCTTCCCGTCCTCCTCCTCTCCTTTCCTCCTACTCCAGCTGCTTAGCTCCTTCCAGTCCAATCTCATTGTCCTTAGACACACATGCGCATCGCTACCGTTTGTGCATGTGTCTGAGTGAGGACAGGGGGGTGCAGCCGGTCATTTTGAACACGTCCATTGAGCAGAGAGTCATGCTCGCGTCCGAGGTGAGTGTTTTCCCTCTTCATTCAACTTTTCACCGTTTTGGTTTCTGTCGGCATTTAAGTTTGACTTCAAAATATGCATGTTGCATGTTTTTATATCATAGACACAGTGTGAATAGTTTTTTTCTTTAACACTATTGCCTTCCTCGCGTGTGATGATTACTTTGATATCGTTGGCATAAACAGAGGTCATAGGGGTCGAAAGTGGCTATTTGCTGGCTGTTGAATTAGATGCGACAAAATTGTACCTTGTCCACTGTGTGTATGTGTGCGCGCGTGCATGCACTCGTAGTCAGAGGGTGCACTTCGCTTGGCTCTGTACGTGCTCTGTTTCAGAATTAAGAACTATAGCGCTAGAAATCTTTTCTCTTTCGCTCGTTCTCTCTCACCCACATACATGTTCGCATTCCACTGCGGATTAAAATATTTCCCAGCAGGGTTTAAGGGTGAACAGAAATAGATGTAATTCTAAATCAGAACCCCAAGTTCAACTCAAGCTGCCTCACCAACTTCCCTTTACAGCCAGACACTTCAACACTTTCTCACCATAAAAATAACACAACCCGTTTCGTGTTAATTTACAAAGCAACTGTGGGGAATAAGGAATTAGTGTGAGTTAAAACTCAAGAAATACTGTCGACACCTTTGTCTCAGTGCTGCACATAGAAAGTAATTTTTATTCACCACAGCTGCATGTTACTGATGAGAATGTCCCCAATTTCTATCCTCCGGGCCACAAAAAAAATTAAGTGAATAAAAAAGTACAAGTACAATAAAGCACATTTGGACTGTCGAAATTGAATCTGGTGATGAAACACGTTATGACACACCAGCTGCCTCCGACAAAGCCTGAAATAGATGAAAAAGTGGTTTACAGATACGGAGAGTTGAAAGGAATGGGCCACGTGCTTTCATACTGTGTGCGTGTGTGAGTGTGTCAATTAGGGAGGGAGTGAAAGAGACGGATTGGAAAATTGTAAAAAATTGTATAATGAATGTTAAAAACAAAAAAGAAGTTACTCCAAAAAAATAGTTTCACTGTGGCTCTAAATGTGCTGCTACCATTGAAATCGCACATTCAAAATGCTATGTCTACTGATTTGTTTGATCAGTCCACACATGCCACGTTGCATGGCAATTAGTTCACGCTTTTTTTTTAAATGTATAACATAACTCTCAAGAACTTCTCTGTAAAAATGTTTCTAGTGTTCACTTGCTGACCGCTATGCTCATTAACTCTTTTATTCCCCCTGACGTATAAATATGTCAAGAAAAGCCACTATGACCGTCAACCCATACTTATACATCATTTCCTTTTTGTTTGCGTCGTAGAGTGCAGAAGGGTCTGGCGGAGCCTCTGACTCAGGATCAGGCTTGTCTGCATTGTAAATCATTTAAAATCTGGCAAGTGGCAGCAGGTGTAAGTGATGAGCCAGGATCATGCTGCAGAACAAGCAGAAGTTGAGCGGGAGGGATGCAAGGGCGGAGTTGTGGAGTATCTTAGAGTCGGGTGGAGTAGCGTGTGGTTAGTTGTGAGTGCATTCGAACCAGTAATGATGGAGAAATCAAAACAATCAACCTGTGAGGATTGCTGCAGGATGCTTTCATCCACGCAAAGGTAAGAATCAGCCATCAAGGAGGCTCTGTGTGAACAAACGTCGTCTGCCTCATGCAAAAGCAACACCGCGGCAAAGGTACCTTCGCAAAGGCAAGCGAAGTTAAACCAGAATGCGATGTAAGACATGTTGAGTGCCCTTGTATCAGGGCAATTGTTCATTTTGTATCACACAAACACACACACACACACACACACACACACACACACACACGCACACACACACAAATATGCATAAATTGCAGGGTGAAGGGGACACATTTGCACGCGTACATGCACACGTGCAATGCACGTGCACACCCAAACATACACGTGCACATACTCACCGAACTCATTTTAACTTTTGTTCATAGTTCATTCGTTCAATAGAGTGCAGATGAATATTTTTGCTATCAAAAACCCTTTTTGTGGTGCCGTTTATGTTGTTTTGTCGAGGGGAAAGTCTTATTTAGATGTTTGAGCGCTCACAAAAGCAAAAAAAAAATAGCGGTGTCATACTTGGAAATAATGCTTTCGTTTACAAAAAGCTCTTTTTCTCCATTTTTTTTCCTCAGAAAGTGGAAATCTGATGAAATTTGTCTATTTTATAATGCTGATTGCTCAAGAGCAGAAAACGATCAAAACAAACGTTTCAGCTGAAAGAAGAGAGTCTCATCTTTCTTTTAGTTGGCTGCATGTTCATATCGCAATAGAACAGAATAATCCGTGGGCCTTGCAAATCGAAATTCAGTAAACCGGCTGGGATTGAGAGGTTTGCTCCAGTGAAAATGGCTGGGATTCAATTCGTTAATTAGATGTCTTTTTGCCTGACTATACTGAACACATAATTCTAATAATTGCTCCGTTGTCTCTTTGGTGCATAACGCAACCTACCGCATAGGAATCACAAAGCTTTTCCATATGTAGGGAGTGCAGCCTACTTGAGCAACCCCGCTGTATTCAGCCCCGCGAACAGACACAGAAAACAGGTGGGGCATGTTTCTGTTGGATCATGGTGAGTGCATTGATTTGTTAAGCACTGTTGAACTATCACCCAAAATAGCATTGAGCATTCGTTAAAATAACAACACACGATTACCAGATTGACTGAATTTTGTTATTAACAGTTCCTGGTGAGAATTTATTGCAAATGTGATTTGCAAACACTTGAATTTTGCACAAAGAAAATCTCTTTTCGACAAGTACTGTATTGGCCCGAATATACGACGGTGTTTTTTTGCATTGAAATAGGACTGAAAAAGTGGGGGTCGTCTTATATTCGGGGTCTAGACATTATACCCATTCACGACACTAGATGGCGCCAGATATCATTGAAGCGAATGCTGAACTTGACTCCCCAGGCCAAAGTGAACCCCTGTCACGAAGAATAAAAATAAAAATAGCGGTAGCACGAAGAAGAAAAATAAAAAAATAGTGGTAAGAAAGAAAATAGAAGAAAATAATAGAAGAGATAACAGAAAATGGAGAAACGCAGCGACAAGCTGGAGAAAAGTGGGTCGAAGATCGGCCAGGTTAACCGGCAGCTGAGGAGAAGTTATGATGTAATTTACATTTCAAAAACCAGAAGCCATTCATTTACGAACGTGATTGCACTTTAGTTTACATATTTAAATGTTCAGATATTAAAATTTGAATGAGGCAAAATAACATTCTTTTTCTCTCAAATATATATTGTTATAATCATTTCTTTCAGATGTACTGTAATTATTTTCTGTATAAAAATTTATTTGTGTTCAAAAAGTCTTTTTTCAAACTTGAGTCTTGAAAAAGAGGGGGTCGTCTTATAATCAGGGCCGTCTTATATTCGGGCCAATACGGTATAACTGTTTGCAACATGCAACTTTTTATTTCCCACTGGAGTGCCTGCACATCTCGGGCCTTAGGCACTATGGTATGCCCATGAGACAGAGTACTTTAGATGAAGGACATCCCGGGAACCTTTTCAGTAAGTTATGGAGTTGATGAATCAGGAGAGAAACAAAGTACAACGAGCTTGACATGAGTTCATCCTATGAGCTGGACGGATGTAGCCAAAGTGCCTGGCACGGAACGACAGCAATCCCCAACCAGTACCTCTGCTCTTTTAGCATGAGGATCATGTCCAGAAGCTCTGTATTGCTATCATCATAATTGTGTTAGGCTAATTTGTGATTAAACGCTTCAGGCAAACTAATGTAAATTTAGGGTAGGGGGTCCACACAAAAGGTGCTTTTGTGGATGTAAGCTTTGTAAAGCCCCTTTCCCACTGAATTGCGGGCGTTTTCGAAGGCAGTATTGAAATCTAAAAATCTTTTTCAAATTACCTCAAATGTTTACAGAATGCATTGAAACGTCAAAATTGTATCAGATTTTTTTTCTTAAGATGTTCAACACTGCAACTGTTCAATTTCATTGAGCCAGACTTAGTAGTTTTGAAAATAATTACTCGTAAAATTATGTATAGATTATTTTACCATATTATTGACATGAGGGACTCTTAGCGGGGGCTGTAACTGTATGTATTGGGGGGGGCTGCGTTTGCCTTGGACCAGGTAGCCTGATACAGTCAACTTTTGATGAGGGGCTTGTGCGTTGATGAAAAAAAGGCAGCCCGTAGCTGCGAGAACGCAAGTGATTTTACCATCACCACGTTATACGTACGTTATGGTAATACATATGGTTCAATTTGGCGCTAAGTGGGACTCCCTCTGTCACGGTTGCGAGGTGGTGTTGGACCCAAAATGCAGGCAGGAGGGAGGAGCAGGGTGTACTTGAAGAATTGTATTAAAACAGAGAAAACTAAATCCAAAGCAAACAAAGTCCAAAGTATCAAACAAAACACATGACCGAAGATAAAACATAACAATGACCAAAACCTGACTGAAACAAACATGACAGTCGCACAAAGCAACAGCAACAAACAAACATGACGGTGGCAAAGAGCAACAATGACCCGACAATGATTGCTCGGGCTGGGAGTCCTTTTAAAGCCACTAATTACCTAATGACCAACAGGTGTGCAGCTGCAGGGAGAGCCCTACAGTGCCACCTGTTGGTCCCAAACCGAATCATGACACCCTCACATTTGGAACTTATCTTCTCCAATTGATGTTGAGGGAACGGGGCCGCTTCCTCCAATCCCGTCATTCTCCCTTGCCTCTCTGCTTTGCGGCTGTCCCCGATTCCATACTCAAAGCACAATTCAGCATTTTACATTTTGAAATGGAGGGAAAGCTGAACCCTTCTGTAGCGGGACAACTCTATGAATGTTTTCAACCGGTTTGAGCAATTTGACCGACGATTTTCTTTTAAAGAACTGGAACAATTATAATATGGATGTAATGAGTGAGAGGGCTTGAGGCTCTTACAACGCCATAGATTAAAATAAATAAATAAATAAATAAATAAA